CTACAGCTAAACAGCCCCTCGTAGTCGGCGTCTGCAAACGACGACAAACAGCACAGTGCACCAGTCAACATTGGCATCAGCATCAGCAGCATCATCAGCCAGTCAGATAGCAGATACTTTGAGGAGGGGAAGAAGAAGATGATCCCCTGTTTCTTCTTCTTCTTCTTCTTTTTCTTCTTCAACACATCTTCAAAATGCTTTCCTCACTAGGTCAATCCTAGTACACTTTGTTGCTGCTGGCGGGGCAGTTGTTGAGGCTGAGGCTGCTGCTGCTGCAGACGACTTTGAAGACACAGCTTAGAAGCAAGAGGTGCCATGGCGATTTTTGTTGCAGATGATGATGATGAGGATGCTGTTGCTGATCAGTGGTGGTGGTGGTGGTGGTGGTTGCTGGTCGTGGCAGCCTCAGCAACAGTATATAAGGGGCACCATCTCCAGCAAAGAGTTCACTTCTCATCTCTTCGTGGGACCTTTTCTTTTCCTTCTTTCTCTCTTCAACATTTTTCACCATTTTTGTCTCAACTTGTTAGTTGACGCTGGACTGAAGCTTCAGCCCCCGCCCCCACCAGTGACCATTACCGACCTTGCGACCTTCAGGTCTTCAGTTTGTCCACCGCCAGTACCACCATTACCACCCTTACCACCACCAAGATGACACTGAGCCTCTTCTGGTCGTTGCTAGTGCAGATACTGCCCTTGCTCTTCATCATTTACCTGTAAGTGCCCATTTTGCATTTTTTAGATTTGAGCTTTGTTAGAAAAGAAAGTTTCATTTGAACTTCTTCATCACCGCCCTCACTTTCAGCTACATCAAGTGCAAGTACAGCTTCTGGTCTCGTCGAGGCGTCGCCGGCCCTCGGGCCATTTTTCCCCTTGGTTACCAGTTCCAGAAGGCCCTCAACGACCCGATCTCCATTGAGCACCTCTGGAGCCGCCTGTACGGTAAGGTGTACGGCGTCTACACTGGGCTAATTCCCACGCTGACCATTACCGACGCCGAGCTGATCAAGAAAGTGCTCGTCAAGGATTTTCACCTTTTTATGGACCGACGGGTACTGAACTCCAGTCACGAGATCTGGAATCAGAATCTCTTCAACGTTGAGGCAAAGCAGTGGCGACGGTAAGTGATCAGATTTTATGATTATTTAAAAATTCATTTTTTTAAATCTGGAAAATTCTAGAATTCGCTCCATTGCCAGCCCTACCTTCAGCAGCGGAAAGCTACGGGCGATGATTCCGCTGATGAACCAGTGCGTCAAGAAGCTGGTCGACTACATGGACACGGTAGTGCCCGCCATTGGCAGCAGTGATCTCAACATCAAAGAGGTGATTACCGGCTTCACCATTGATGTTAGTACTGCTTAAGGCTTTTATAAATCATAATTGTAAACCTTTTTCTTTGCAGGTAATAGCTCTGACATCTTTTGCAACGGAAACTGACGCCAATGGCGCCCGATCTCAGGCAAATGCCTTTGTCCAGAACGGCCTTCGCTTCTTTCGCTTCAACCCGGTCCGCCTGGCGGCGGTGTACGCCCTGCCCAAATGGCTCCTTCAGTGGTTCGGCATCAAAACAATCTTCGCCGATGACACGCTGGAGTTTTTCGTCAACCTCAGCAAGTCAGTCATCAAGACGAGGAGAAGAAAACAGGAAGAGCAGCAGCTGCAGCAGAAGTTAAAGGAAGAGGAAGTTGAAGGAGAAAATGCTAGTCCGGAAGCTTTGAGTCAAAAACAGTCTCAGCAAAGCAAGCGCAGCGACCTTCTTCAGCTCCTCATGGACGCCTTTGTCACCGAGGGCCAGCTGAAGAGCATGGCCAATGAGAGGTTGACCGTCACAATGGATAATGGTAATAAATGATTCAATTTTAATGTATTTTAAGCTAATTTTAATTTTTGTGTTAACTTGTTAGATCACGTTTTAGATAATGAATCTACAAATACTTTTACAAACACTCTTAACTGCAAAAGCGCCAACAAGAAGCACATGCTTTCAGAAAAAGAGATCATAGCCCAGTGCATCATCTTCTTTGTTGCAGGTAAAGTTTTTAAATAAATTTTTTTAATTAAAAGTTTTATTAAAAAACCTTTTTTGTTTAGGCTTTGAGACGACTCAAGCCTCCGTGGTGCACTCCATCTTTGAGCTACTAAAGAATCCCGTCCTTCAGGAACGTCTTTATGCGGAAATTTCCGCCATCACCGCCGAGACTGAGCCCGAGTCGGCGGAGTACTGCGAACGCATTCTCAACCAGGCCCCCTACCTTGAGGCGGTGATCAAAGAGACGCTGCGGATGTACCCTGTAAGAAAAAATTTGTTTACTGAAGTAGTACTTTCGTATACTGAAAATCAATTTTTTCCTTAGCCGGTCATTCGCATCGAGCGCCGCCTGGCTGTGAACGACTACAAATTGGGCGGCATTCCCCTGGAGAAGGACGTCCTGGTGGAGATTCCCACCGTTTCCGTCCACTACAGCCCCGAGTACTACCCCCAGCCGACGCTCTTCAACCCGGACCGCTTTATGCCGGCGAACAAGGCAAAGCTGGTCCCCTACACCTTCCTGCCCTTCGGCGCAGGGCCCCGTAACTGGCAAGTACCGGAAACAAACTTTTAAATGTACTGAGACTTACCAAATTTTACTTTCAGTATCGGCATGCGCTTCGCCTACCAGGAGATTAAGCTCTGCCTGGCGCAGATGGTCAGTCGGTATCACTTCTCGCCGACAGAGGGCACCCCGGAGAGGCTGCAGTTTCTCAACGGCTCAATCATGCTCAACTCAACCGCTTTTCCGGTAAAGGTCTCCAGGCGAGATTGAGACAAAAAGTTATTTATCATACTTAGGCTAGCTTACTTCTTTACTCTCTTTTATTTACCAGTATCTCTCACTCATTGACTTTATTTATTGTTACTTACTTGTAATTATCATTTGATTTTGTACATATTTTATTTAATTCTAGTATTTAATGTCTTTTAGTATAGTTTTTTTCCTTAATTCAACGCTTAATGCTATTAGTTACGAAACTTGAAACGCGATCATTTGGACATTGGGTAAAACTTATAAACATTTTTTAGATAACTATAACATGTTCTATATCATTTTAAAGCTTAAGTCATTGGCTTTCAGATGGTTTAAACAAAAGTTTAAAAAACTTAAAAACTTAAAAAAGTTTTTTTTGTAAAATGCTTCCAAAACAGGAAACTCTCGTTAGACATTGCATTTTTAGTAATAAAAAATTGTGTTTTTGAAAGTGTTTAGCATTTTAAAATGTTTGTTAAGAGTTGCTTCAAACAACAAAACAAAAATTATTTTTTTGGTTAAGAAATGACAAAGTTACGGATTTTTAAAAGAACGCCGAACTTTGCACAAAACCAAGCATTGCAGATCATTTTTCTCTCTCCGCTGCTTTCCTGAGCTGACCGTTCCGGCACAAACAGTGGATTGTTTTGTTTTGAGTACGTTTCTGTTTGCTTTCTGATTAAACAATAATCAAAAAAAGTTCAGTTAAAAATTTGCAAAAAGAGAATCAAAATTTCGTTTGCTTAAAAACGAAAATTCAGCTGATCGGAACGCAGGCAAAACAAGCGTACTCAAAACAAAACAATCCATTGCGCGTGCCGGAACGGTCAGCTCAGGAAAGCAGAAGAAAGAGAAAAATGATCTTTGACGCTCGGTTTTGTGCAAAGTTCGGCGCTCTTTTAAAAATCCGTAACTTTGTCATTTCTTAACTAAAAAAATTATTTTTGTTTTGTTGTTTGACGCAACTTTTAACAAACATTTTAAAATGCTAAACACTTTCAAAAACACAATTTTTTATTACTAAAAATGCAATGTCCAACGAGAGTTTCCTGTTTTGGAAGCATTTTACAAAAACAACTTTTTTGGTGTAAAACTTTAAGTTTTTTAAACTTTTGTTTAAACCATCTGAAAGCCAATGACTTAAGCTTTAAAATGATATAGAACATGTTATAGTTATCTAAAAAATGTTTATAAGTTTTACCCAATGTCCAAATGATCGCGTTTCAAGTTTCGTAACTATTATTTTTACTTTGCAAATCATTTTGTAAAACCCCATTTTTTTAACACAACATTTTGCAAGTTTTCTAACTTAAAACAAAAAAAGTTTTACTCACTCATATACCAGTTTTCTAGTCACTAATAACAGCTATTCAAAGGTAGTGTACTGTTTTGGAAAACTTAAAAATAATGTCATTTAAATACTTAACTTTTTGTAGTTTATTTTCCTGTTTGGCAAACTGCTCCTGTACTTTGTTTTTCTAAACACAACTAAATAAATGCGTAAGAATGCGCTTTTTTAAATTTTTAATATCATAATTTAATGATTACTCAAATGTTTGTGTAATATTATAAATTATAAAAAATGGAGCACTCAAAAATATTTTTGGAAATTTTATTTACTAAAAATTTGTAGCAACATTTTTTACTTTTAAAATTGCATTACTATAAAATAACGCAAAAAAATAAATGTTTAAATGTACTCAAAATTTTTATTTTATAAATTTTGCTTGTTTTTGCAAACACATTATTTTAACCAAAATTTTTTTTTGTGTTAAAAACTTTTTTAAAAGTTTTATAGTTTTGAACTAAAAACACTTGCATTCACAGGCAAGTGTTTAGTGAATACTACTTTACTTCCATTATCATGAAGCTCTTTGGTGCATTGTGGAAACACCCGATGCTGACTTTTCGCACCACAACTGTGATCACCTACTTGAACAGTTTAAATTACAGCACCAGTTTAGCGGCAATAAAAAAACTCGCTTGTGGGCTTTGAAAACAGTTTACTATGTTTGGATTTTGCAAATATCTTTGCGCACAATCGTTGTCGTTCAGCAGAACCTGACATCAGAAGCGGTGCTGGCCCTTTACCTTCCTTTCAATCCGATGATAGTCATGTTAGTGCGTCTTTTTGGCGCTGCCTCACTGAACGCTTCTCTCATCTGTGGCTTTGTTCTGGGCGGGCAGGGGGTGATTCACCTGGACTATGCCGTCACTGCTCTGATTAAAGCCCCCTACCTCCTCAATCTGATTCACTTTATGGTGGCAGGCAATGGGCGTCACTTTGCGGTGATCAACGCCCACCGCCTGGGCGGCTGGCCCAAACGGGCGTCAGA